TAAATAATAATATAAGTCCAACTTGAAATTTTCGAAGATGAACACGTATATATTTTCATATTGTATTTCTGCGTCATCAGATTTCTCGTTTTCAGAAATGCACAAAAATCCGCCATCTAACAAATACACCGTGTACCATCGACGAGACGGTTGATTTGTCGCGTTAGTCAATTAACGACCTAATTGACGTGTCGTCTTGCCCGTTAATTAAGCATTATCGTGAAAATCCATTTGCGTGTGACCCAGTTCGAGGCCTCGGGGAAGACTATCCGCCGACAGAAAATCGGATCGACTCCTCTTTGTTCGTCTTGGACGCGAGTCGCCCGCATTCCACTGTTAGGTACGTACCGGGGGAAAAAAGGCGGCCAGAGCCGTCCATTTCGAGAAGAGGGAGGGAAAAAGAAGAAGAAACGAAGGAAAGAAAAGGTGAATTTACAGGCGAGCGTGGTCGTAATGTAGTCAAGCCTGCCAGTTCAAAGCGAGCTCATGCGAGCGCGAAGACGCGACTCGATTCACGCTTTGAAGCGTGCAAGTACAAAGAACAGCGGAGTGCTGCCCCCTACCCGCTTGCAATTATTCTTCGCGTCTCGTTACTCTATTTTCAGGCGTATCATATTTTTACTCTGTTTCAGAACCGCTGATATTTCTTAATACATGTGAGTGAAACGTATTGTCCATTACGAGTCTCAAGCTTTTACCAATCTTTTTTTTTTTTAAATTCGACAAACATCACGCAACGTTAACAACGCATTACGTAATATTAATATCCTATTTGACGTTAGATTAGCGATAGTTGAATGATAACACGGAAAGATATATAAAATACATCTTTGATATATCTTTTCGCGAGATTTAGTATATACAAAATAATACTTTTACCGAGGTTCTTTTTTAATTATATTCTGACAACTATATCCGCACTCTGGAGAATTGTTTGAATTTCGAGTATACGATAATTAATTTTCAAATGATTTTTTTTCCCTGTCAAGTTTGAAAGCACGAGGAATATAGATAGATAGATAGATCTTTATTGTTTTTCTACAAAGCTCCTACTCATCCTCCACGCATCCTCGCATCTACTACTTAAACATAATTGCTAACACTAAATAACGGATACAATACTGATCTTCTAATACTAAATCTGTCAACTTAATTCTGGCAAACAGGAGGAATATAATCGAACCGTTAGGACGGATCGTGGAGGGCTGTTGCGAAAGCAGCATTTCCTCACGGAAAGGAACTCGTTACCGAATCCATCTTCGGCTGTCACGATATGAATCGTAGGGCAAATATGGTCGGATGCATAAAGTATGCCCGGCCATATCGGCCGGCTGGCCGTGGTCTAGCAGTTTAGCCATTAAAGTTTCCCAATAAGGTGGCTTTTACGCACGCACGTGAACACTGGACGCACCGGCCAGACAGAATCGTGGCTCGTTCTCGCGTGGGAAGCGATAGTATTTCGATATCACCCTCGCGAGCGTGGACACGCGTGTCTCAACGCTTGCACACACTCGCCTGAATGTACATACGTGCCCGCGCGTTTATTCGAACCGGCTTCTGTGAGTGCACACGCAGAGACGCGTGCATCGATATATACATACGTACAAACAGAGAGGAGGATACCTTTGGATCTTGCCTGCCGTTTAAATGTGCAGTTTGTTTGCAAATTGCGTTTCACGCAATTGCGTCCCCTCCTCCGATCGGACTCTGATGACATTCGAGATATTCGGAGACGAAACGAGATGAGAGCTTTGAGAATGTCGAGATTGATAAGAACGAAGAACGAAAAATTGTACTTAGATTGTTGCGCTTAGAGTGTCAGCCACCTGGGAAATATTCGAAAGTCCGTTTCCTTCGTTCGTGAATTGAATTACAATTTTAGTTTCTCGTGTGTTGCGAGTTATATTAATGCAGTTATATTGTATTTTAATAATGTTATATTCTAATTTATTTTAATATTATAATGTTATATTTTATTTTAATATCAAATGCAGTTATATTTTATTTTATTTTAATATGAAGGCTTTGAAAACTTTACTATAGATAAATTATAATCGGTTCGTATCAACTGTGTATTAGACAATCTAGTAATTTCGACAGTGAATATTCGATAAACTTGTATTATATTAAACTTATATATTGAACTGTAACGTCGAGAGAACGAAAGAGAAAAAAATCTGAGCAGAGATGGTGCTCAGATTAAAATATCCGAAATATTTAGTTTCTTCGTAGAGATAATTCCTTTTAGAATTCTAAAAAGAATTCATTTTGTACGTTTACGAATTCAACGATTCAGCGGATGTCGAACGGATACGCAAGAATCGCGTCTTAAGACGAGGTGTTATTACATCTTTGCTTTCGTTCACACGCGTAATAACTGTCATAGGTCTTGTGTTATAGTATCGTCGAGAAAAACGGGCCAGAAACTTCGATCGTTTGTCAAATGAAAACCAACACGAATATTCAGCATTTCGTCCCTTGATAACTATGAACGTGACCGTCCTTTCTGAAGAGGGCATTGAAACCAAGAAACTGAAGCAACATTGTTGAGATAAGATATCGAAGTAATAAAGAAATTGCAATTTGTCAGAGAATTGAAGACGTCGAAGCAAGAAAGATATGAAGAAGATACGAGGAAACTGTGAATTTTACTGGGCAAATGAAGATATATCGAGGCGAGGAAGATTTGAAACGAAGAAACTGCAAAAAGAAAAAGAAAATATTCGACGAGTTTCCGTGCAATATTTGACACTGTTACGCGAAACAACCTTGCTATCTCGTTTCACTGAATGAACGCGCTTCGGTTGCGGACTGCTTACGACGAAAATTCGCAGAGTCTGCCTCGCTTTTGGCGATTGAGAAGAATTGAACGTCAGAAACAGGGAGGCGAGCAGACAGGCAAAAAACGAACGACCGAGCGAAAGCACAATTAAATTAATCATCGTCCTGTCGCTTTCGTTTAACCGTAACTCGTATCAATTCAATTCGGTGTGCAGTTCCCTTAAAATAAATTCACGGCGAACAGCTAATTGCACCGTGTGTCAAAGAATTGCCAAACACCATAAAAATCGTACGACTTTTTTATTTGTTAGTTGGTTAGTTAGCTCAGTTGAAAGATAAGTTTCGAATTCTTCGACTCTACAAAGGCCGAAATGGTAATTCGACAGAAACTTCTTCATTCTGTAATCAAATTTTAATATTCGTTTCGATAAATAATATTTTATAATTAAATATATAAAATATTATATTAATATAAAATGTTAATATAAATATATAATTTATTAATATTATTATTAAATTATAATTTATATTAACATTCTATATTAATAAAATAAATAAAATTTTATTATAATAAAATATATAATTTATTAATATTATTATTAAATTATAATTTGTATTAATTAATATATTATAAATGTATTACGAAATATTTTATAATTAATCAGACAATTTGTGAAGTGTTAGCATGTCAACAACACAGTGTCGAATTTGCAAATTTTATTATTCGCGAGAATACTGAAAAACGGCGAGAGATGTTCGTACATTCGATACGTTAAACTTTTACAACTCTTCGCGAAAGAAAAGATCGTACAGCAAAAGTTTAAAGGATCGTTGCGAAAGAAGGACTTTGATCTTCGAGACTATGATGAGATTTTCTAGAAGAAACGCGCACGTAAATTTTCAGCTGTTGCGATATATCTCGCGACCGGTGTAAAAACGATAATAATTCTGAAACTCTGAAGCAAGCGTGCTTTTAATCGTCGATCTTTTGAGAAATCACGGCGGGGATAACGATTTCGTCGCGTCGAAGGGCCCGTGCGCGTTGGCTGCGAGCAAAAAGAAAAAAAAAAAAAGAAAAGGACGAGAAGAAAGGGAGCCGAAACCACCCTGCGATGCATAATTCATGGTGGTGGGTCCGGCTTCATGGCACACCCCGATGCTTCATGATGTAAACAGTCGTAAATTAATGCAATTGGCCAGGGGCCTGGTTCACTGGTGTATCCCGACGAAAAAGAGAGAAGCAGAAGTAACCATAAAATTGTTTACTTCTACGACTACGAATGTCATTTGGTCAGTACGCTTTCACACTTCGTAAATTCGAAGATTTCGACAGCTTCCTGTCTACTAATTGGCTCCATTAGACGAAGGCAATGAGACTCGTTGAGGAAAATACTAGCGAGCAACAGAATATCATCGAATTTGCTTGGACTGCGTGGACAGTGATCGAGTGTTTCGCACGATCGAGAAAAAAAAAAAAAAAAAAAAAAAGAAAAGAAAATTGAAAAGTTGAAGAATTAAAAAATGCTCGAAGCCTGTGGATAATACTATCGTTATTTTAGCAACAATAGTATGATATAAATTTCACGACGATGTCATTAAGTAAAAAAATCTCGTTTGAGGATTTAATTAAAGTATTTCCAGCTTGTGGAGTGGCCTCTGCCAATTGTTTCGCGCTCGAAGCAAAGTCAAATTGCATTGCCTATAGTATGATATAAATTTCACGACGATGTCATTAAGTAAAAAAATCTCGTTTGAGAATTTAATTAAAGTATTTCCAACTTGTGGAGTGGCCTCTGCCAATTGTTTCGCGCTCGAAGCAAAGTCAAATTGCATTGCCTATAGTATGATATAAATTTCACGACGATGTCATTAAGTAAAAAAATCTCGTTTGAGAATTTAATTAAAGTATTTCCAACTTGTGGAGTGGCCTCTGCCAATTGTTTCGCGCTCGAAGCAAAGTCAATTGCATTGCCATTAAGGGATCGCGTGTGTCATTCGAGATCCGACTATCAATGGGGTCTGTTTTGCATCGCAAAGGACTGCTCCCACTATTGTTCGCCTCTGCCTCGATAACTCTGCCCCGATACAGAGCAGAAAAGGGACAGATATTCGGCTGGTCCGGTTTTCGTTCTTGTCCGTGTCCGTAAAATTGCGCGCGAAATTCCGATTACCGGCGGGAAATTATCCAAGTAAACATCGTCGATGTCAGTGTCACTCACCTCGAATCCGTTTCCCTCGCGAACCTTTTTTTCCAGCCGGTCGTTAGAAAGAAAAACAATAGTCCGCCGGTGATTGTGTGACTCGTGGGAATCCCTGAGAAATGATCTGATCAGGGCGAGCGTTCCTCCTGTCAAAGTGAGTGACTCGGCGTAGTCAACGCTTATTTCCTGAACGTGGAGTTGCGCGGTCAAAGCGCCGAGCTGAACTGAACCCGAGGTGGCTCGCGATCGTCGCTATAACGCGTGGCCAACGTGAACGGCGGACATGTTGGCGGAACATGGGGCTCCGTGGCGTTTGCATTTGTTCTTTGGCAAGCTGAAGATATTACGCGAATTCACGTTTCTGGCGGTGGATGACGAAAGAAACGAAACTTCTGAAAGTTTGTCAGCTACGATTTTTAAGAGGCGCAACCGGAGTGACAACGAGAATTAAGTCGAATGAATTAAGTGTATTCTAATAGTTAGAAATTAGATTCGCGACACGATAAACGGTGACAAAGTTAACTAAAATTGAAATGTTAGACTGTCAGGGATTTTAATCTATAATTCTCAACTCTGAATTTGATGTGGCAGAATACTCTTAAACAATGTTTATCAGACGTCGACTTGATGCTTAAGAGTTGCCATTAATTGCAAATGTTCCCAAAAGGTACATTAAGGAAAACATTTGCATGAAGAATTTCGAGCTGGAAACGATTTTAATTGTAACAATCATGAAATTATTTAGAACTGGAGGAACTGAAGTTCGATTAAGAAAGCTATGGACATTTAGAGGATGGTAATAAAGATAGTAACGATTCTAGCAATTAATAAACGGGTGAAAAACAATTCACGTTTCTGGCGGTGGACGACGAAAGAAACGAAACTTCTGAAAGTTTGTCAGCTACGATTTTTAAGAGGCACGCAACTTAAATAACAACGAGAATTAAGTCGAATGAATTAAGTGTATTCTAATAGTTAGAAATTAGATTCGCGACACGATAAACGATGACAAAGTTAACTAAAATTGAAATGTTAGACTGTCAGGGATTTTAATCTATAATTCTCAACTCTGAATTTGAGACTTATGTGGCAGAATGCTCTTAAACAATGTTTATCAGACGTCGACTTGATGCTTAAGAGTTGTGCCTGTACCATTAATTGCAAATATTCCCAAAAGGTACATTAAGGAAAACATTTGCATGAAGAATTTCGAGCTGGAGACAATTTTAAAATTGTAACAATTATAAAATTATTTAGAACTGAAGTTTGATTAAGAAAGCTGTGGACATTTAGAGAATGGTAATAAAGATAGTAACGATTCTGGTAATTAATAAACGGGTGAAAAACATTCTGGTGATCACCCTTTTAACTGAAATCCTCACGTTTACGAATCTAATCCCATAAATGGTCCTGACACGGACCATTGAGCCACTTATGTCAGTGTCCCTTTCCACCAGAAATCGCTCGATACTTCCCTGCATAAGCCATTTCGTCGTTTCATCCTTTGGGGATGAAATCGCCCTGGCATTCTTTCGGCGTCGGATTACAACCACCATGGGGTGGATGGTTTACGAGAGGGTATTCTACACCCTTATGGGACATAAAGGCGCCAGCATTTGTGGATTTATTGCTGGTGTAATATTTCGTTGTTTCAACGTTCGGGGAATAATAAAACAAATATTCGACGTTTTGATATTTTAGTTTTTTCGGCTGTTTGCAGCATGCGACGATAATTATAATCAATTTGTCCTGATCAATAGCGAGTAATATTGTCTTTATTTTAATGTATAATAATGTTGGATTTATTTAAAAAATAGATGGTAGAAAAATTGTTAATTTAATTGGATCATTAGGCTGCGAATCTTTGTGCATTTGGGAAACGTAGAAGGGTGCAAATGATGAATGTATAATATTCAAAATACAATATTCATGATAATGTTCTTTAGGAGGATAAAAGAAATCTCTATTTAACTTCTATTCATTTAATATCATACAGAAGAATTTGATTTTGTAGATAGAAACAGAATTTGTCAATTGATATTGTATCTTATTTATTGTATTACAGACGCGCTGTAGACATAAGTTTTCATGTAGTTCGATGTTCAATTGGTTGTAATTTTGACAGCAGTAAACCTCGTGAATAAAAATCGTGCTTTGATTTCTGTGAAAAAAAGAGTCATGGTAGATAAAAAGAGCAAATACATCGTTTCTTCTCGAGATAAAATGTCATCGATTGGTGGTACATATCTGTACATTTATCTGTATTAAATATGGTTTATATTAATGGTCACATTAATAGGCGATACAACGAGGAAATTGGACGAGACTTTCGCGAGCGAATTTCTAAAATACGCTGACGAATATAACGTGCATCCTTTGCCTAGAATTGTAGTAAGCGCCTTTTTAAAATTCAGTTTTCCAATGGAACTAAAAGATGAACTTCTGTTTGAGAAAAACATTATCGAAAGTAGCAGAGCTTTATGGACCTTCGCCCGTCTAGCACGTTATTGACGTCCGAGAAGTAATTATTTCTAAATTAGAAAATGATCGATAGACCGTGGATTTTTGCGCGGATTTTTTTGTAAATTTGAACAAACATAGAAAGTAAATAATATGCAAAAATATTAAAAATATCGAAAATAATATGATCGTTATGATGGCTACTTGAAAGATGAAACAAATTTTCACAACAGATTTATAATTCTGCAAAGTAGATCTCTACTATTTAATAATAAATATAAAAATAAAAATTTGCATATATATATATATATATATATATATATATATATATATATATATTTTTTTTTCGATTAACTCCAGGTATCTACGTGTTCCCTTCGATGCAGAAAACTGTAGAAACAGTGTTTAATTTTCGCTACTGTAGATGATGTTGGATGACAACCGTGTGACACAGTTGTTGCGAGATACATACATCCCGTTGCTTTCTGACGAGCACCACGCGCCCGCCCCTGTGAAGTTTGCCAGCGAAGCTTGCTTCTTTCGAACAGCCTGCAGATCGTAGAGCTGTAGTTAACCAACGGACGCGCGACTGACTGGCTTATGCTACTCGAACGCGAATAGGTTGGATGGTTAACTGAGATGGTACTATAGCCGTCTTCAACGGCCTAGTTAGACGTTCGAACGGGCGCACCGCTCGGCGTTTTCCCCCCTCGTGTACTCTGGTTCGTTCGTTCGTTCGTTCGTTCGGGTCCTGACCCTCGTATGCGAGAGAGCGAAGCACATGGCCACGGTTTTCAGCTCGCGAGTTCCCCCTTACGTAACAATTACCGTTTGCCATCGGCCGGGGAGCTCTCCTCCTTCTCTCTTTCTCTCTCGATACGAACGAAACGAGTTCCTTCGAAACCGACCCGCTCGCTATCTCAATGAAGATTCCCTTCATCTCCATTGGTACACGCTGGACCACGAAGGTCGATCATCGAGCTTCTCGCCATTGTCGCGGCTTTCGGCAGATTTTCACGGCTTTCCGACACGTCCGGATGTCTGGACGAGGTTCGAGCTTTTCTCTCTGACGCAAGGCGAGGAAAGTTTCTTCAATCTGCTTTGGGAAATCTGAATGTTGAACCATTGGATCTTTGATGAGAGAGCAAACATTTTATTGTGACGATTTTATATATATATATAAGATCAACGGGACGAAAAATTTCATTTTTTTGATGATTCCTTCGTTCTCTAGATCTTAATCTTAAATCGACAGGGCGATTTATCATCTTGAACGTTTCCGTCGTTTTGAACGCAAGCTGTTCAGTACAGAAGGGGCCCATAATACGGAAATAATCGACCCGTAGGTAAAGGAGATTCTCTCAAATGAAGTGACATATTTTTCACGCAGCTCGACGAAAAGGTTTCTCACCAAAAACAAAAAAAGGATTCGCCTACTTGGGTCGAAAAATTATTCGTTTAATAGACAGTTTTGTAATTCTACAAAATCTACGCGTGTCTGTTCTTCCCCCCGACCTTCGCGCGTCAAGTTCTGGTACTTGAACTAAAATTAAAAATATCTCTTCTAAATTAATAACACGTGCGATATGATTTTTTTCGCAGCCATATCGATGCGCGAAAAAACATATACACGGAGGTGAAATCTCTGAAATCCCTTCAGCTACAAAAAAAAAAAAAGAAAAATTATTACTGCCACGTTAACGTCTCTCCTCCCCCCTCTTCGTAGCGTACAAGTCAACTTTCGTTTGTTCACGTCGCCGAAAAACGACGGAGATATATTTCAGATGGAAATACAGGGTGGATCAAAAGTTTCCTTTTAACAAAATATTAAAATATAAGGGAAGAAAAAACTGACTAAACTCAGGTACAAACATGATTTTTTCTCATTACGATTTTAAAAATCATTTCTTTCAAAACGTTGACTGCCAGAGCGTTCTCCGCGGAGAATAGATTACGGATTTATTTTTGGGCCACTCTGGTAGAATCGCTACGTCACGACAATTTACTCCAAAACGGGTGACTAAATCTCTACGAGACGTCATTCACCTGTCTGCGTCTACGGTTGAATCCTGCAAAATCCCGATAACGTCTCTCGTATATCTCTGCGAACGTTCGAATTTCAACGTTGTGCGTCGCGTAACCTCTCCAGATAAAAGACACGGATTATCCAATTACGCGGGAAACGATAAAGTTTCATATTGTAATCGTTATGAAACTCGGGCTGCGTCGTTCGCCTCTCGTAGATTGTTCGCTTAGAAGAAAATAAGATCGTTAAGTTGTTTATTGCAAAACGCGTTAGTAGAGGGGGAGAGAGGAAGTGCGTGCGTGCGTGTATGTGTGTGCGTGTGTGTGATGAGAGACGCGTCGCTCTCCAACAGACACTTCTTGCAGTGACACCTCGATCGTTTGGCCGAAATGCGCCAAGGACGACGTAGAAAACGCTAACCGCCGCGCCGATCTACGATGACTTTCTTCTCTCTCATCGTCGCTTCGCTCGATGTAGGTTATCGCGAAGGTTAAGGCTACTAGTGCCTACGAGCGTAATCAAGAGAGAGAAAAAGAGAGAGAGAGAGAGAGAGAGAGAGAGAGAGAGAGAGAGAGAGAGAGAGAGAGAGCATGCGAGCTGGCAATTTTCACGGACGGGAGAGAAAGAAAAAAAAGGAACGTGTGTCACGCGAGATGATCTTTCGACTGGATTTCGCGAATGAGAGGCAGGATTCAATCCTTCGTTCGAGATCCAATTACGACTTACGGATCCAACGAAAAAAAAAAAAAAAAAAAAAGATATCAAAAACGACCGCTGTGAAATTTCTAATCTGCCTCAACGATAAACTCGTCGATCTTTTTAGAACACGCCACGCCGGTTAACGCCTTGCCCTGGCAACTAGTTCGCGGACCATAACGAGTGACCACCAAACCCGTACACGATAATTCGTCTTCTTTTCGAATTCATCGGTATACATCACTGGATAGAAATTACCAAGAAGTGATAAATTTATTATTTGCTTTGCCTGGGTTATGTTTCAATATACTTGAAATTAGTATATTGAAATTGTTTTCTCAGTATTGGGAATATATTTTATCTTAATACGAATAGTAATATTTAGAAACGTTCAGAATCTCTTTTCCCTGAAAATCACATATTTCAACACAGTTCTATTTAAACGCCTTAACTACTTGCGCTGGCAACTGATTGCGGACCATAACGAGTGACCAAACCGAATACAATAATTCGTCTTCTTTTTGAATTCATCGGCATATCACTGGATAGAAATTATTAAGAAATGATGAATTTATTATTTGCTTTGCCTGGGTTATGTTTCAATATACTTGAAATTAGTATATTGAAATTGTTTTCTCGGTATTGGGAATATATTTTATCTTGATACGAATAGTAATATTCAGAAACGTTCAGAATCCCTTTTCTCTGAAAATCACATCTCTCAACACAGTTCTATTTAAACGTCTTAACCACTTGCCCTGGCAACTGATTGCGGACCATAACGAGTGACCAAACCGAATACAATAATTCGTCTTCTTTTTGAATTTCATCGGCATATCACTAGATAGAAATTACTGAGAAAGTGATAAATTTATTATTTGCTTTGCCTGGGTTATATTTCAATATACTTGAAATTAATATATTGAAATTGTTTTCTCAGTATTGGGAATATATTTTACCTTAATACGAATAGTAATATTTAGAAACGTTCAGAATCTCTTTTCCCTGAAAATCACATTTTTCAAC